AAAAATGAGTTTTTCTCGAAAGAAGTGAGTGGGAGGAAAGTAGAACTTGATGAGGTAACTGTACCTGCTCCCTTATTGGAAAGTAGTTCATCACAGAAATCTATTCCTGTGACTACTACACCGATTAGTGAGGAAGCTAATGATGATGATCATGTAACTTCAGATCAAGTTACTACCGTACCTCGTAGGTAAACCAGAGTGAGATCCGCACCAGAGTGGTACGATAATCCTGTTCTGGAGGTCATGTTACTTGACCATGACGAGCCTACGAACTATGAGGAAGCGATGATGAGCCCAGATTCCGCGAAATGGCTTGAGGCCATGAAATCTGAGATGAGATCCATGTATGAGAACAAAGTATGGACTTTGATTGACTTGCCCAATGATCGGCGAGACATTGAGATTAAATGGATCTTCAAGAGGAAGACGGATGCTCGTAGTAGTGTTACTATCTACAAAGCTAGAATTGTCGCAAAAAGGTTTTCGACAAGTTCAAGGTGTTGACTACGATGAGAGTTTCTCACTCGTATCTATGCTTAAGGCTGTCCGAATCATGTTAGTAATTGCCGCATTTTATGAAATCTGGCAAATGGATAAACAAAACTGCATTCCTTAATGGATTTATTAAAGAATAGTTGTATATGATGCAACCAGAAGGTTTTGTCAATCCTAAAGGTACTAACAAAATATGCAAGCTCCAGCAATCCATCTATGGACTGGTGCAAGCATCTTGGAGTTGGAATATATGCTTTGATAAGTTGATCAAAGCATATAGTTTTATATAGACTTGCGGTGAAGCCTGTATTTACAACAAAGTGAGTGGGAACACTACAGCATTTCTGATAAGTATATGTGAAAGACATATTGTTGATCAGAGATAATGTAGAATTATTCTGCAAAGCATAAAGGAATGTTTGAAAGGAGTTTTTCAAAGAAAGACATCAGTGAAGCTGCTTACATATTAAGCATCAAGATCTATAGAGATAGATCAAAACACTTAATACATTTTTTTCATGAGTACATACCTTGACAAGATTTTGAAGTAGCTCAAAATGGAACAGTCAAAGAAAGAGTTCTTGCCTGTGTTACAAGGTGTGAAATTGAGTAAGACTCAAAGCCCGACCACGGCAGAAGATAGAAAGAGAATGAAAGTCATTCCCTATGCCTCAGCCATAGGTTCTATAAAGTATGCCATGCTGTGTACCAGATCTATTGTATACCCTACACTGTTTTTGGCAAGGAAGTACAATAGTGATCTAGGAGTAGATCACTGGACATTGGTCAAAACTATCCTTAGTAGAATAAGGATATGTTTCTCGATTATGGAGGTGACAAAAGGTTCGTCGTAAAGGGTTACGTCGATGCAAGTTTTGACACTGATCCAGATGACTCTAAGTCTCAATCTGCATACATATTGAAAGTGGGAGCAATTAGCTAGAGTAGCTCCATGCAGAGCATTGTTGACATAGAAATTTGCAAAATACTTACGGATCTGAATGTGGCAAACCCGTTGACTAAACTTCTCTCACAAGCAAAATATGATCACACCTCAGTACTCATTGGGTGTTAATCACATAGCGATGTGAACTAGATTATTGACTCTAGTAAACCCTTTGGGTGTTGGTCACATGTCGATGTGAACTATGGGTGTTAATCACATGGTGATGTGAACTATTGATGTTAAATCACATGGCGATGTGAACTAGATTATTGACTCTAGTGCAAGTGGGAGACTGAAGGAAATATGCCCTAGAGGCAATAATAAAGTTATTATTTATTTCCTTATATCATGATAAATGTTTATTATTCATGCTAGAATTGTATTAACCGGAAACATAATACATGTGTGAATACATAGACAAACAGAGTGTCACTAGTATGCCTCTACTTGACTAGCTCGTTGATCAAATATGGTTATGTTTCCTAACCATAGACATGAGTTGTCATTTGATTAACGGGATCACATCATTAGGAGAATGATATGATTGACCTGACCCATTCCATTAGCTTAGCACTTGATCGTTTAGTTTGTTGCTATTGCTTTCTTTATGACTTATACATGTTCCTATGACTATGAGATTATGCAACTCCCGTTTACTGGAGGAACACTTTGTGTGCCACCAAACGTCACAACATAACTAGGTGATTATAAAGGTGCTCTACAAGTGTCTCCAAAGGTACTTGTTGGGTTGGCGTATTTCAAGATTAGGATTTGTCACTCCGATTGTTGGAGAGGTATCTCTGGGCCCACTCGGTAATGCACATCACTATAAGCCTTGCAAGCATTGCAACTAATGAGTTAGTTGCGGGATGATGTATTACGAAACAAGTAAAGAGATTTGCCGGTAACGAGATTGAACTAGGTATTGAGATACCGACGATCGAATCTCGGGCAAGTAACATACCGATGACAAAGGGAACAACGTATGTTGTTATGCGGTTTGATCGATAAAGATCTTCGTAGAATATGTAGGAGCCAATATGGGCATCCAGGTCCCACTATTGGTTATTGACCAGAGAGGTGTCTCGGTCATGTCTACATAGTTCTCGAACCCGTAGGGTCCGCACGCTTAACGTTCGTTGACGATATAGTACTATATGAGTTATGTATGTTGATGACCGAATGTTGTTCGGAGTCCGGGATGAGATCACGGACATGGCGAGGAACTCCGGAATGGTCCGAAGATAAAGTTTGATATATGGGATAGTAGTGTTTGATCTCCGGAAGGGTTCCGGAATTCACCGGAAGGGGTTCCGGATGTTTCCCGAAATGTTTGGGCACGAGAACACTTTATCTGGGCCAAAGGGGAAAGCCCATGAGGCTTTTGGAAAGTGCAAAAGGAAGTTTTGCGGAGACGAGAGGCTAGACGCCGGGAACCCTGGCGTCTAGCCCTGGAGTCCGAGAAGGACTCTTGCCTTTCGAGTGAAACCGACTTTGAGGAGGCTTTTACTCCAAGTTTCGACCCCAGGGCTCAACATATAAATAGAGGGGTAGGGCTAGCACCAAAGAGACATCAAGAAACACCAAGCCGTGTGCCGGCAACCCCGTCCCCTCTAGTTTATCCTCCGTCATAGTTTTCGTAGTGCTTAGGCAAAGCCCTGCGGAGATTGTTCTTCACCAACACCGTCACCACGCCGTCGTGCTGCCGGAACTCATCTACTACTTCGCCCCTCTTGCTAGATCGAGAAGGCGAGGACGTCACCGAGCCGAACGTGTGCAGAACTCGGAGGTGCCGTGCTTTCGGTACTTGGATCGGTCGGACGTGAAGACGTACGACTACATCAACCGCGTTGATATAACGCTTCCGCGACCGGTCTACGAGGGTACGTAGACAACACTCTCCTCTCTCGTTGCTATGCATCACCATGATCTTGCGTGTGCGTAGGAATTTTTTTGAAATTACTACGTTCCCCAACACAAACTACCACTTTACAAATTTGTGCCGAAAACTACCACTTTTTGTCTAATCTTTGACTAAAAACTACCATGTCGGGAAAGTGCCCAATTCACCTCTTCTAAACGCCTTTCTAACAGGATGGGCCCACCTGTTAGTATTAATCTTCTTCCTCCTCTCTCTCTGGCATTTAGTCAAACACTTCGCCGTGCTGCTATACCCCACGTCCATGACGAAAACGAAGCTCGGGCATGAAGTCGAAGCAGCAAGCAGGGGCGCGGCGGCTGTGGTGGTGACTAGCAAGCGGCGGCCATGGGTGCTGGTGGAGGCCGGCGCAGGGCAAGAGGAGCAGATGAAGGCTCGGGCTCCTCGAACCATGGGGATGGCCGGCAACAGGTAGCTGCGGGAGGCCGAGGGGAGCGGCGAGGTCGGCCGGATCTGGAGCTTGAGGCATCCGGCGGCGACGCTGGAGCAGGGCACTGGCGGGGCGAGGGAGAGGCCGCGCGCGGTAGAGACGGCTAGCTCCGGCGAGGGCACCGGTGGCCGGGGATGGGCGAAGCGGCGATGAGGAGGCCGGGGATGCGGAAGACGGCGTGGAGGCGCGACACTGGTCGCGGGCGTGGGAGGCGGATCCGGAGCGGGAGGTCACCGATGAGGAACTGGACGGGGCGGCGCGGGCTGACGAGGTGCTGCGGGGTGACGGTGTGGGAGGACGAGCGGGGCAGAGCGGCGGAGTGCACATGAAATGTTTGAGGAAATGCCAGAAAGAGAGGAGGAAGAAGATTAATACTGACAGGTGGGCCCATCCTGTCAGAAAGGCGTTTAGAAGAGGCGAATTGGGCACTTTTCCGACATGATAGTTTTTAGTCAAAGATTAGACAAAAAATGATAATTTTTGACATAAATTTATAGAGTGATAGTTTGTAGGTACGGTTTCATGAAATGTGGTAGTTTTTTTGTTAAATACTCGTCCTCCGTTCACTCCCCTAGTCCCCTGTGCCCGGCCGTGCTCTGGGCGAGCACCGGCCGCGCCCTGGTCCTGTCCCATGCACGCCACCGCTTTGTTGATCGGCCATGAGCCAGCCGGTTTAGTTAGCTGCTGGTTTTGACCAAAGTGTTATCAAGGATGAAACATATCCAGTTTAATTAGTTGAGAGAGTAAGTTTTGATGTTTTTGGAGTTGAGCGGCGATTTGTAAACTTTCGCAAGAGTTTAATGATGAAAAATATGCTTTTTCCTTCTTTTAAATCCTATAAATTAGGTGAGTTTTTTTGTATGCTTTGTTGAATTTCAACTTACTCGAAGGATTGAAGAACAACAAAATTGGCGCTAATCTTGAGGTTTTAAACAGATATACAAGTATACAACACAATCCGCCAAATATTTCAGGCAAACAAAAAAAATTAATGTTAGTTGCAATCTTTCAAGCATGAAAGCAACTCTTCCAAATTGACATGAATTACATATAAAGGCACGGAGCTAATTAACACATGAAACAGGCTTTCATCTCGCTTTATTATATATAAAGCAGCATCACAAGGTACACGGCCGGAATACAATGTGAATTAACACATACTCGATCCTACAGACTGATAAATCACTCGATCAGTAGTTTACGATGGACCGGTAGGTCTTGTCGGCCTGCCAGCCGGAGGGGATGACGTTGCTGGCGACGAGTTTCTTGCCGGAGCTGGAGGTGAGGCGGATCGATATGGGCGCCCGCAGGGCGGACATGGAGTTGTACTTCCACACCGCGCCCAACAACTCTTGCATCAGCGCCCAGCTGCCGCCGCGCTGCTGAAGCTCCACCGCCGACAGGTCGCCGTCGCCGGACTCGTTGTCGATGAGCACCGCGAGGTAGTTCGGGTTGGAGCCAGCCTTCACTCTGAAGGCGATGTCCAGCCCGCGCCACTTGCACGGAACCCTGCGGCGGAGGAAATCAAAGACATGACAAATGATCGATGGATGCACAGTATCACACACGAACATGCATGGAGGCAGAGCACTGGGCATGGGTGTGTGCGCCAGCTAACTAGCGAGAGCATACCGGTCGTACTGGACCCTAATGTTGCCGGCGTCGCGGAGGTTGTCGGCTTGGCCGGGCTTGGCCATGGCATCGAACGCCTTGCCGCTGAGGTTGAAATGGGCAGCCTCGGCCAGACACGCCTCGCCGCCGGGGCGCTCGTCTGTGACGACCACGGTCACCGGGCGGCCGAAGCAAGCGGCATTGCCGGTGCATTTAACCTGATAGCAAGCACCGCAGCCCTTGCCGTCCTTGAAGATGGAGGGGCCGGCCGCCGTGATCATGGAGGAGAACGGCGGCTTCTCCATGTCGCCCTGGTACCCGCACGCACCACCTGCAACACGCTCTGCACGCGTCAGTACACGTGAATAACTGCTGTACACACGTCCTAGCATGCATGCACCCTTATCATGGAGATCTGCATGCATCGCCATGCGACCATATACCTACCGCCAGTGCCGGCGCCTTGGTGGAGATCATACCACGTCGCGCCGCTTTCGAGCCAACCTGAGACGCTGCGCGAATGGAGGAGGAAAAGGCAGCTGCTGGCTAGAGCCACACAAGCGACGAAGAACGAAGAAGCCATGCACGCAGTGGACGATACTCCTATATGATTGGTCCGCGTAGGTAGAGGAAGAAGAGAATGAATTGGAAATAGATCAGAAGATGTGTGTGCTAGCAAGCGTAGTCTCTCACCATGTATTTATAGGCAGCCAAGAGAGATCGCACCCTGATCGCAATTTTTTTCCACTTTGTTCAAGGCTCATTCGCAGGGGTCAAATTTCTGGAGCGGGCGGAGGCTGATTTGAGTAGGTTCTCCCTTGTGCCGGCTATGTTACAGGCCACACCAACGCCACGGTCTCTTGGTGTGGCTGATGTTGGCTCCACGGAGGACGGAGGTGCAGAGCCCTATATATGTTTTTTTTTGAGAACCATGGCTACACGAAACTAAGTCATGGTGTAGGTACACTCATTCCTCATTACATTCCTTAAGTCAGCCGGAACGTTTGAAATGATCAGGAAATCTCCCGTCGCTCTTGCCTTCGATGCCAGTTCATGTGCTAGCTTATTCTTCTCTCTTGTGACAGCACTGACTTCCGTTCGTGAAAAAACCTGAAGGAGCCCTTTGATATCCGAAATACTGGCACAACAAGCTGCTCTGCACTTCTCCTTTCCATTCAGGTCCCGAGCTAGGACTGCGCAGTCCGTCTTTAAGATCAGGTTCCCGTTGAAATACTTCGCAAATTCCCTTAACCCCAACTCTGCCGCCATGGCTTCTGCCTCTTCTACAGAACTGCAGTAAGGTAACTTCCTTCCCAGCGATAGGAAAACGTGGCCCTTATGGTCTCTTGCAACTGCCCCGCCCCATGCTTCACCCGAGTCCGCAAGGAAAGCCGTGTCCGTGTTTAACTTGACGCCACCTGGTGTGGGGCCTCTCCATACCCTGGTTTCAGAAGTGGTCGGCCTACAGGGTTTGGTTGGGAATAGGCCCCTTCTGCATTTGTCTCCTTCGCTCCAGGGATTTTCTGCTGCCATCTGTATCTCATCATGTATCCGCAATAAGGCTTGCGCCGCACCTAACACCGTATCCTTCCTGTCACCGTGAATCGCATTGTTTCTAAGGCTCCAAGCTTGCCACAGAATTAGCATTAGCTTGGTCCTAGTTTCTTCTCCCTGAGATAGTAGCAACAGCTGTAACCAGTCCTCTCTTGTGTATGTGAGGACAGATTCCTTTGGCAGCTGCCAGTAGGATCTCATTTCTTGCCGTAGGGCTGAACTTCTGGTACATGCGATAACGGTGTGGTGCTCATCCTCATTCCCTCTCCCGCAGATCTCACACACACTATCCTCAGCCATCGTTCTCCTGAACGCATTATGTTTTGTCGCGAGCGAGTTTGTGGCAACTCTCCATCCGAAAATCTTGACCTTCTCGGGTATCTTCGCCTTCCAGATTGCGTCCCATATGCTACGATCCCCTGGAGCCCGTGATGAACTAGTTGCTCTGTCTGCGCCATTTGTTTTTAGGGAGTGAGCAAGCTTGTAGGCGCTCCTGACCGTAAATATACATGTTCTCTCATAATGCCAGGCAACGCAATCCTCAACCTCAGTCCGTGGAATTTTCAGCTTGCATATCTCCTCTGCATCAAACGGTTGGAAGATTTGCCTCACTAGTGCAACGTTCCATTCCTTAACTTGTGCGTCAATCAGCTGGTTCACCCATCTTAGTCTGGATCTCCTTATGAACGATGCCACCTTCAGCCCCTCCTCTCTTGGAATCCACTGGTCTCTAGTGATCTGGATGCTTCTACCATTGCCAACTCGCCAAATGAGGCCCTTCTTTAGGAGCTCCATCCCAAACTCAATACCTCTCCATGCCGGGGATGCATCCGAAGAGAAGACGGTGTCAAGGAGATTCCAGTTAGGGCCTAGTGCACACGCATAAGCCTAAGTTAGTTTTTCTCTCTGAAACCCGGAAAAGCGATGATTATGTGAATAAACTGCGATGGAGACTAGGTCTCCGGCATTGTATTGTGCAACCCGGGATTGGCAAGAGTGCCGGGATTGCACTGTTCTATGATCAGGAAGTTGAAATAAAAGAAATCGTTGTTGGGCCGAGGTATATCGATGTGCTCATTCGTCTAAACCCAACTGCAGTACAGTGGCGAGGTACTTTTGTTTATGGTGAACCAAGATCACATGAAAGGCACCACATGTGGGAGCTGCTTCGAAGAATTAGACACAACTCGTCCGAACCATGGTTCATGATCGGTGATTTCAACGAAACCATGTGGCAAAGTGAACATTTCTCGAAAGCAAAAGGATCTGAAACAAACATGGCTGAATTTCGTAAGGTTCTTGATGAGTGCAACCTGCAGGACTTGGGCTTTAAAGGCACCATATGGACGTATGACAACAAACAACGGGGAGATAAAAATGTCAGAGCACGGCTAGATAGAGGGGTAGCATCGCCTGAATGGAACAGAACCTTTCCCAGTGCCTCAATTGAACATATATGCTCCTCGAGGTCAGACCATGCTCCCTTGCTGCTGCGTTTCGGGAAGAGGAAAGAATGGAGAAAAGTCACAAAAAGCTTCAGATATGAAACCATGTGGGAACGAGCCGACTCTCTTGAAGATAATATATGGTTGTTTCTCTCCTCGTGTTCGGGACAATTCACTAGCAGTAGGCGAGTCCATCGCCGTGCTTGCGGCTCCGGTGCTACAACTAATGCCCGAGCTTCGGGATATATGTACGAGCCCTGCTTCGCCTCTGTCCTTGGATAGGTTGGAGGTGGACTCATCGGCGACCTTGTGTGAAGGGCATGTTTCGCCTCTTCCATGTGTGCAACTGGAGGTGCCGAAGTCCATTGTGTCGATGGTCCCTGTGGTCGAGGATGTCGTGTCGGTGGTTTCTCGGGTTGACGATGTCGCTGCGGCTGGTTAGTTGGTGCCTGCTCCTAAGAGCCCCTTGGTTGACGACAACTACATCAAGAAGTACAATGAGTTCTACGACTTCCTTGACAAATGGGTGGTTGGTCATCCTGGATCCGACAATACAAGTGGTTGTCTCCTGAAGGAGAAACCCAACATGAAGAAAGCAAAGACAAACAAAAGCAAGAAGGGTGGCGTCATTCGAAAGGCGCCCGTGACTTCATGATGGAGGGTGCTTCGTTTCTATTGTGGGCTGTGTTCTTGTCTGTAGTTTCGTTGTGTTGTACCAGTGTCGAGAGTTGCGGTTGTGGTGCGTTAGGAGGGCCACATGTGTGGTCACGGTGTTTCGTGAGGTGTGAGTAGTACGCACGTGGGTTGTTTGTATTAGTTTTTGCTTCCGAAATTAACTGGACAGCTATGTTCTTATTAATTAATCGATGAGGCAAAACTTTTGCCTCTATTTCAAAAAAAAAAATCTTGATTCCCCTAAACTGGTTCTAAGCAAGTAACCCACGGAATGTATTGTGGTTATTATTTCCTACTGTACTGTTATTAATATGATAAAATATGTACAATGATTGTACCAGACGTACTCCCACTTTGTCATATTATAGTCCATGTAAATTTGGGTCAAAGTCAAACTTTTAAACTTGGACCAAAATTATAGGAAAGAATAAACATTAAGAATACCAAATATATACTATATGAAAATATATTTCTTTATGAATCTAGCAGTGCTGATTTGGTATCGTAAATCTTTATAAAATTTTCTATTAAGTTGGTCAAAGTTTATAAGTTTTGACTTTGATCAAATTTTATATGCACTACTAGTACACATGCCCGTGCGTTGCACCGGGCGAAAAAAATAGAACCTGTTTCATGTGCCATTATGCACCATTTTATATTCAATTGTAATAAACGTCAACGATAATGTTAAACGTTAAAATTTTCTTTTTAAAAATAGAAGGTAATGTTAGCATAAAAATTGGAATACTTTTTAAAGAATAGTCATCATTTTTATGAAATTTGAACATTTCTCTGAAAAAGATCAATTTTCGAACAGATGTTTTTCTTGCAAAGAATCCATTTTTAGGGGTAATAATGTTTTTATGGGTAATAGCATTTTTGTGTATAATATAATTTTGAAAATGTTTTATATATATTCTTCTGCAACTGATTTTTGCACAACCTGCTTCATTTGCCAGTGTGCATCATTTTTTATATCCAGTTTTCATAAACATCGACGATAAGGTTAAACATTAAAATTTTCTTTTTTAATAGAAGTTAACATTTGCATAAAATTGAAATACTTTCCAAGGAAGAGTTAACTTTTTATGAATTTTTAACATTTCTCTGAAAAAAATGTTTTTTGAACAGATGTTTTTCTTCGACGTTTTATGATCTTTTTGGGCTTGGCAAACACGCACGCTCTTAGAAAAAAGATACACTGTCGTTGCGACACAAACTGCACACATTGTCTCTGTTCCCGTTCCCTTCACGATCCCTAGTCGCCGCCGATGCCGCCGATCCCCCACTCTCCTCGTCTCTCCCCTCGAACCCTCTCCTTCCCCTCGCATCGTCTAACAGACACACAACACACAGAGGAGCAAGCGCTCGTTGCCCCGATCCCTCCAGCCCCGCGGCCCTCGGGCGCCACTCTGACCGGAGAGTGCTGTCACGCCAGTGACAAACCCTTCTACGCCGCCTCCTTGTTCCTTCCCGTGCCCCTGTCCTTTCCCTCACGCCTCCTCTGCATTTGTGCGCCGGGCAAGCGCAAGGCCGACGTTGACCTGGGCCGCTCCGGTCAAAAATAGTACTCCCTCCGTTCCGAAATATCTGTCGCTAGTGGTAAATTTACAAAAAAACTGGAAGTTTTT